TAATTGCAGCGTAAAACACCACCCGAGATACAAACTCAAACCACCGATAAAAACGTATGTTTGGTAGTTTTGAGTTTTGAAATTTTTCATCTAGTTCCAGTGAAATTTGTCTCTTTACATAACCGATGTTGTGAATAGTCAAACTTAGGTCTGAGAAAAAAGTTTCGATTCTCTTGCGAGAAAAATGTTCAGTATTCATATGCGTGCTATGTGATAAATAGTTGTCACGTATTTTATTCATGTAGCATGTTCAACATGAATGAATATCGAGATAGAAAAGGATCTGTGATTTTCTCCAGTATGGAATGGAACATGAGCAAAGAAGTGATTCAAGTAATGAAGAGCAGCAACAGTACAAGTCGTTTGTTTCGGCATCAAAACACAGCGATTTGGTTGATGAGCTGACCGAAGCGGCCAAGAAAGCAGTGGCAGATTTGGATTCAGATTCGGCTTCGAGCACTGCTGGTGGTGGAGGGCGTGCTAAATCAATCGCACGGAAGTATGACCGTTTATTTCATGGTTGCATTTGTTGATTTTGATTGATTCAGTGGTCATTAGATTTAAAGCAGCTTGCTTGTCGTCTTTGAAAGCTTATCGTATCAACGAATTTGTATTGAACATCATCGCATTTGTTAGTTGGTACCTATGATTTTAGATTACACTTTGGAGACAGCACCGATTTTGTTATTTTTGAAATGTCATTGAAAAGATAATTCCGTTAGTTGTTACTCTAATCTGTTGGTTTGATTTGTTTGCAGATGGGAAGAGAAACTGAGAAATGAGAGTGACGGTGCTAAGAAGCCGAAAGTTGCTCAATCACCAACAGTTCAGGCGATCACACCAAAAACAACCTCGAAAGCTTCAACTGTATGTTCAAGATGATTATTGTAACGATTGTTGAATTACCTTTATAATATTTTCATTAGAAGAATCGAACGAACTTCAAAATAAGATTTGGTAAGTGAGCGTTTATTAAGGAGGATCGTATCAACTGGCGTTTGGATGTTGCGAGAAAATCGCAAACTTCAAAACGAATTGACGTCCGTTCAGCAGATGTGAAAAATTTACGAAACCGATGGGAGGTTTGTTTTATGCAGAAGAAGGATTTGTTTGATATATGAAGTAAACTGTTTGAAGTGTGAATGATTTTGGCATTTGTATGAAATNTGATGATAGCTGAACAAAATTTGGGTTTGATCGAAACCGAACCGAATTGACTTCTTAAGATTTCATAATTGGATATTACAAGTGAACGTTGAAATTCTTTGATCGGAATATGGTCGAATTTTGACGGCCAAGCTTCCGTCATTTATATCATTAGTGAAGGAAATCAACTTTTTAAAATGGAGATTTCAACTGAAAGATTTTTTTTGTGAAAATATTTTGTTAAGATCTCGTCAGCCACTGGAACACCACTACATCCGGATCAGAGACCAGATGAGCTAATGGAGGCGGCCGTGCTGATGTCACGTTCTGTAAGACAGGCTCGAGCCTGGAATTCCAGAAGTTCGTCACACAATGACATCAGTGACGACAGAGGTTCGTTCATCACCTAATTCGTCATCTTTCGAAAAATCTCGCTGGTTTATGGCAGCTCTCAGATATTCCTCACCTATTTTAACGTTACTCACCTTACAGGTAATACTTCTGAATCGTCTCGCGACAACTCCCGGCCCGTATCAACTGATCGTTCTTCGTTATCAGCTGTAAGAATTTAAATTCTCAAATGACATTATTGGAGTGTTAATTGGCCTTTTGAATAGAATTCTGCACGTTTTGCAGTGAAATATGTTGTTTTGATGGGTATTTGCTGTGTTGTGTCGTAAACATTTCATATTTTTGAATGGTATTTCGAACGTTTTATGCACAAATGCGACTTGTGTACGTCATTTTTGGTAGCGATTTTTTTGAGGTTGTTGAGAAAGATTTGAATTGATAAGAAATAATACTTTCGATTTGTTTTTGCAGAAACAGTCGAGCAATATTCCAACAGTCACCGTTCAGCAATCAGAGTCGTCCGCATCAGAAGATTTCCAGAATGAGAACTCAAGAGGTGGGAATGAGGGAGAGCAACGAGATGCGATGTTTGCTGACAGTTCGGCATCAGCAAATCGAAACGAATGCAAACAACCAGATGAGGTCATCGATGATCTGTTCAGTTTCATTAATCAGGTCTTTATTACGAACCCCGATTTCAGCATGCGAATGAATGCTAGAAATTTGTTCGGTTGATTCATCGTGCTGTTGCAAAGCATGTCGATTTTTTAAAAGTAATGTCTGATTCCGATTTCTAATTCATTTGAAAACAATGAGGAATTGTAATCAGTTGGCGTTTTGATGGACATTTCTGAGAAAAAATACCAAATTTCAAAGGATGTAAAATCCGAACTGATGCTAGGTTCGTTTGAGTGAATGTGGTCAATATGTGAATGTTAATAATAGTTACGTTATGTTGTTTTATCATTTGTGATCAGTGATTTTGTTGAGTATTTTGCATGATATCCGTACATTTATGAGGCTTTTGTTGTCCCATGTTAATTCCAAATGAGCTATTCAAATTAATTGTACATAATCCATGTTTTCCTATATTCGTTAGTAGATTTCGTTGATCTGTTGAATATTGTTTTACGGTATTTTTGTTCATGTCATTTGCATGCGTATTAGTCTTTCACTTGATTCTCACTAATTTGAATAGATAACTTTATAGACGCCAAACAAGAATTCATCGCTGCTCTCAGCGATGCTTAATACACCGGAACTACACTCAGCGGATACGTCAGAGACTCAGTATTTCTGCACTCCAGAGGGCAACAATACGGCAGAAGGTATGACGATTTTGAGGTTTATAGATTTCATCAACAAAGAAATTTGTTTGGGTAGTGGGTTATGAAATATAAACAATACTGGTAAGGCATTTTGAGTTCATTTGAAAACTGACAAAGGAAGAAGTTGTTTGCAGAAAATTTACCACTGGCACATTCGGTATCGTTTTATCGCAAGAAGAAGAGTCAAGTGCAACACAGCCATGGTGATACTATCGTGCTGGGGTATGTTTATGATCGTGCTTGTTAGATATTATCGTTTTCTCAGAACCTCTAGATGTTGATTAGATTTTCTCGCAATTTTATTTCTTACTTAAAATTAAAGTCTTACAATCCTAATTGTCTTCTTTATTTTGATTTGTTCTGATGAAATTTAGATACTGAAGTATTGCTCAACGTAAATGCAGTGCTACATGACGAGATTGAATTGTTGCAACAAACCTGTTTTGACGATTATTTTGAGGAAATTTTCGTGATTTTTTCAGGCAGTTTACATCGACACCTCCAAAAGATGCAGAATCATCGTCTTCGTCTGCGAATCAACAACCTGAAGGAGAACACTTCTTGAAAGAGAAAGCACGTCTCGAACAGGAGATCTTAATTCAAGAGAAGCAAGTCGCGCAAGCAACGAGAGCGTTGCATTTCTGTCGAAATACCGAAGAGTTTCGGGGCAGCAGAGAACAGGTAATCTTTTTTAGGGAGATATTCATTGCCTTTGTCTGCCGTGGTTCACCGGAATTACATTTG